ATTCTTCCCTACTTGGAGTGCAAGTCAAGGCACAAGATCCCCTAGTTATTTAGTTGCCTTATTGCTTTATAATTTCTATATTGTTTAGGATTCTTAATATTTTATTGCTTTATTAGTTCCCTAGGTAGAATAGACTTATATCTTGTTGGTGCCTATATAAAGGCCCCTTCCCCTATGTTATTATTACTAATTCAATCATTCAAGAAATCAATAGAAATCTAGAACTTTGTTCTTCCAACTTTGTTTTAGTCTTTTCACCAGAATACTATTGCAATTTTATCGTTTCAATAGGCACGGTTGTGGCTAGAGAAACACTATCGGCGATTCAAGGCGCGGGATAGCGGCTTATCGGCAGTCGAAACACACGATCCTCATCAACGCGCGCGTGTCAAAACAGGAGACGGAGGTCGGATTGGTCGAGCACGATAAGTGCAAGACAAAAATTGCGATCGAACAAGACACTCACGAAGTCGAAGTGGTCGAAGCTCCAAGGCTCGAGGGGGTTTCGGACGTGGCCAAGGTAGCCGAGGTCGAGGTAACTGAGGTTGAAGAGAATGTGTCGGTCACGGTCGAAGCGGGCCATGAAGAGGTTACGTTCGAAGTCCTAAAGGTCGAAGAGGAGGCGACGTCCCAACCGACGATCGATGCCAAGAGAAAAGTCTTGGTCGAGGAGGACCGTGAATGGGATGCGTGTGCAGTTAAAGAAGGAGTACCCGAAGTTTGGATGTTCAATGATGAGTCCTTGAGGACAAGGACATTCTCAAAGGGGGCAGGAATGATACGGAAGTGGGTTTCGAGCCCCGACGACGAGAAGGTCCAAGAGCCGAGAAGGCTTGAGAAGGCTGAAAATAGGGCCAAAATGACGCACGCATGGCCCAAGAGGCGGGTACGAGCTCGTATGCGAGGCACTCAAGCACATGAGAAGAGGCACGAGTCCACGCGAACACGAGGTAGTCGACGGATGTCTTGTGCAAAGGAGCGGGTACGCGCGAGAAGAGCTCGCACGTTCACAAAGATACGCACACGAAGACGCTGCATGAGCCCGAGGAGCATGAGGTATAAGCGCATAGCACGGATAGGCTTGGATCGAGGAGTTCGCATAGGCATGAACCAGGGTAGCCGAAAAAAGGCCCAACAGATCGATGCACGAGCGCATGAGGCGAACCTGGTGAGCCGAGGGTCGGCCATACAAGGGTCGACTATACAAGGATCGATCGTGAGTGGGTCGAAGCTTGTCGGTCAAGAGATAGCGCGTGATCAAGCACGTGGAAGAGAACGCGGGTTGGACGCGCGATCACACAGGTCGGCTAAGGAAGGTCGCGCGTGGAGAAATGCAAGGGCATGCAAAAGGGTGGTCCATAAGTGGGCAACAATCGAACGCAAGAAAGGGCTCATTAGACAAGGGCGCGAACACGCACATTGGCGTAGACGTGCACGGGCGAGACCACGCCTCGGAAGGAAGTGCTATCGGAGGTTTTGGGATGGTTATTAAAGGACTGGAACCTGGTGGGAATGGCTAAGGAACCTGGTGGCTCGACGGAA